CTGCGCCGGGTCAGAGGCCGCAAAGGCACGACTCGGTCCAATGCTGCGGCAGCGGCCACCTCCCAGGCCGCCGCCAGATTTTCAACCGAATCGTGAACTAGGTCCTCAGGATATGGCCCAAGCTCCGTCAGGAACCTCTCTGGGTCCATCAGGCGCCTGGGGCGGAACCATCTAAGCGGTTCCTCCTCCCTGCGGCGGGTGATGGGGCTAATGACTCTTAAGAGCTTCTTTTGTCTTGAGATCCCTGGCTCCAAACTTCCTGATGGTTCCACATCTGCATATGTATAAGACTAGCTACTGCTTTGGGCAAAGAGATGAGGCCAGGTTTGGTTTCTGCTTTTTAAAAAATGCTTTTAAAAATCCTTTTGGTGAACAATATCTTTCTTTCTGCCTTTTTAATATTTCCTTCTCTGGGTTAACTTCCCACAATATCCCCGCTTTGTGCCTTAAGTGTGTGAATTTCACACTTATTGGCACAACATTAAAATTGTTCTGGTCAGGGAGACTTGGTAGACAAGCTTTTAAACTGTTAAGCCAAAAAATATATATATAAGACACTAATGGAGGCAGCAGAAAAAGATCCCTTCTCCCAAAAGGGGAGCTTGCAACCCATAAAGTTCTAAAAGTCCGGGCAAAAATTTTGTTAGGTGGAAAAGAAATTTATAGTGTCCAATATTCTGTGCCAATCATTTTCAAATGTTGGATGTCACTCTTAGCTTCCAGTCAGGTTTGCACATTCCTCTCAAAATTCTTCACAACCATGGTTTTCCTTAGTACATGACCACTGGCTGCCCATCTTCAAGGGTTGTTTTCCTGCCTTAGCTCTTAGTTCAGTGCATCCAGGTTTTTAATATCCAATTAAAGTTAGCCAGTATGCCAGGCTATTAATTTTTTCTTAAATTGCACATAGTGAGCTCTAGGACTCCCAATCCGGGCTCACCAGTGCAAGATATTCAGGGCTGAGATTTGGGGATCTTTCCTGTTGCTTCCTTAGTCAGTGCATAAGAATTGCAAATCACCTGAGGGGGCCTAGTTCCCTCCCCCTTGGAATCAGTTGGAAGTTGTTCCTACAAAGCTTGGTGCAATAGAGCAAAAATCATCCTGGGGAGCTTTACTGAAGGTAGGTAGAAGAGACTCAAGTGTGATTATGAATGGTATTTGTGTGGGTATGTGCAGCTACTACAAAACAGGCAATACAAACATTCTGGATACATTTTCCCTCCCACCAGATAGAAGTCCAAAGTGTTCAGTACTTGCTGTGCCAACTATTCCCAAATGCCATCTCTCCATTAATACATTCAACTGGCTTGTTACAATACAAATGTGGCAAGAAAGAAAAGTTTTACAATGACTTTCCACCCTCCCCCCACAGTCTAATTTTCTCTTCTGAGGCTTCACATGGCACCAGTGG